TTTTTTATCACATAATATTAGGAGTTTGCTGTATGCGATTTTTGAATGTACAAATGATATATCCTTTTCCAGGTTTTACGATACCCGGGAGAGACATGGAAATCTTGTGAAGGGAGCATGCGGTCTCCAAAATCTCGGCAATACTTGCTTCATGGCTTCAGCTCTCCAGGTACGTAGTAGTTATCATGAGCTCAGAAGTGCTGCTTTGTGAGATTTTTCTTTTAGTGCCTTTCGAATGTCCCAGAACTCACAGAGTATTTTTTATCCAATCGCTATATTGCGGATATTAACGAGAGAAATCCACTTGGCACTCATGGAGAGTTGGCCAGAGCTTACGGTGATCTTCTGCATAGCATGTGGTCCGGAGAGAATTCGAGCGTTATGCCTCGTAAAGTCAAGGTATTCCACATCTTTTTCCCTTTTCTGGTGTATCGCCTTGAAGTAATGTTGATTGCCTTTGTCATGCTTCCATCACAACCTTTTGTTTATTAATTGATGCATATCCAGATGACGATCGGTCAATTCGCTCCAAGATTCAGCGGCTATGCCCAGCAGGATTCGCAAGAGTTGCTAGCTTACGTCTTAGATGGCTTACACGAAGATTTGAATAGAATAAAAGTGAAGCCTTATGTCCCAGATGATGAAGCATTGGAAAGATTGGAGGAACACGAGGTTCATCGTTAATATTTCAATGATTTTCTCTGCTTAAAGTTCACATTTTTCCAGCAAGCTGAAAAGTCGTGGTTGGCTTATAAAGCTCGTAATGATAGCATCATTGTTGACCTTGTTCACGGACAACTAAAATCAACCCTAGTATGCCCGGTGTGCGCTAAAGTAAGTTACAAAAAATTTTGTTAGTTCAGAATGTATTATACGAGTTTGCTTTAGGTCAGTATAAAATTCGACCCGTTTTGCTTCTTATCGTTACCACTTCCACCGAAAGAAAAAGTTAGGCAGATCGTCACGTTGATATTTAATACGAAGAGGCGATGGGCAAAGGTGAATTTTGGTTCTTGATGTGTTTCAGTGACCATAAGAATCTGCAGAAAAATCTTTTCCAGTTTACTATTACTATGGCCACTTCCACTACGGTCCAGGATGCAATCAATACCATGAAAAA